GCAAAATAAGAACTATAATATCAATATGACCAACATATAATATAAAATGACAATGAAATGTCAATATACAATGTCACATTATATTATATTGCAATAGTACCATTTTTGAGACGCTGCAATAATAAAAAGGTAAATTATTTTGAGACAGAGCGAGTTAAATTTTATTATTATTTTTAAAATATTTTAATTTTTAAATTTTACATCAATACTTAAATAATAAAATCAAAACTAACTTCATTTAAACATCTCATAAAAAAATATGAAATTTATTAAGAGGTGAAGAGAATATCTAATTTATTATTTTGAAATTTTGTTATAAATGAAGAGAAAAAAATATAAATTATGAAAGAATATTATCATATAAATGAAGATATTTTTTCCATAATAAATTTACTCATTGATTTCAAACCAAACTATTACTTTATTTATTTCCACATCACAAATTGTTTGGCATATTAAGTTTCAAAAAATGCTACATAAACAATATATACAACATGTCGACTTTCTAGAGATTTAAATCTTATTTTTATATATAAAGGATATCTAAGTCATACAATCTGAATTTAGCTATAAATGTTTATGTGAAAAAATTGTAATTATAATTCATCTTTTACATTTTTAAAATAAAATCATTTGACAATTCTAGTAAAGTTCGGTTGTAAAATAAATGTGATTTTTTTAATTTTTAAGAAAATAAGTTTTTTTTGTAAAACATATCAAATGTGAATATAGATTTTTTATTTTTGGAAAATAAATTTATTTTATTTTTTAACTAATTGAATCTATTTTATCCACGTGTTTTTAAACTCTTTTGTTTGAAGTCATGATATTTTTTTGTGTTTTATAATTTTAATTATTTCAGTCTATTTATAATCGATTATTGATGTTAGAATAATCCATGAAGTTGAATAATCTAAACAAATATTGATATAGAAAAATAAAATGTATCTGAATCTATACAACTGCATATAGAGTTAAAATCACTCATTGATAAGAAAAGACCATTTTGGAAAATATTAAATTAGAAAAGACTGCGTATGTAATTATTGCTTATTGAGAATTGATTTGGAAAATTACCTTAGTAGAAAGAACTATTTTGAAAATTTACTAAATTTCTTTTTTAACTTATTTTTAGTTATATTAGATTAGTCATTTTTGCTAAACAAATTCTCATAAAAAAGAATAAATTAATACTTTTAAAAACATTTCATATTTTACTTAAAAACTTTTATATTAGTGTTAGTGTCTTTTGTAATGAATAATTCACTTAATTTTTATTGAAAAATTATATTTTTATTTTCATTCATTTACTTGATTTTCCTTGAATTCAAAAGTCCATAACAATTTTGTAATATAAAATATACTAATTTATACTAATCAAATATTTAAATATCAACTTCTAAAGATTATAATAAACAATTTGCTAAAAATGATCAATAAATATTTAAAACATGTCATAGACTCCGTATTTGTTTCTTTTGTCATGTTATTTAATCTTAAAAAATAAAAAAAATTAGAATGGATATGGGTCACACAAATAATTTTGAATATGATATGTGACAATAATACTGAACATATTAAACAAGTAAAAAGAGATTAAAATCGTCAAGTAAATGATATATAGGTTAAACAAATTTTAAAAAAGTAATTTTTTTGTAATATCAAATATATTAGTGCAAACTTATCAAATATATAAATATCAAGTTTTTAAAGTTACCATAAATTATCTGTTTAAAATGGTCAATGATTTTTCAAAAGTTACTATATATGAAGACTTTTTTATAAATGATTTTAGATTCAATTAATGCATACATTCATTATTGACGTGTCATAAAAACTCCACGCATGCATTTCACATGTCAAGCTCTGGTGATCTGAGTCTGAAATACTATATTAAACGATTTCCGCTGGTTTACTCGAATATTACGTGGCGCGCTGTTTAAATTTTGCCACATAGACATGCCAAATGTCAAATTTCTGTGCATCCGAGTCTTCTTTATTATATTAAAGGATTTAACTATTGATGTCATGTCTCAATTAATATGGACTGTATTTCCTAAAACCAAAAATGTAAAGATATGAAATTACCTTATTAATAATTATTAATAATTAATAATTAAAGTTTCACATGTTACCTTTTTTATTACACGGTATTATAAATTTTAAGGCATGGAACTACCTTATTAATAAATAATTATTAATAATTAAAGTTTCACATGTTACCTTTTTTATTACACATGGTACCAATAATAATTATTCTGTTGTTATTATTATTATTATTATACGGTACCATATTATTATCATACTCCCTCCGTCTCAAAAAGTTTGTTACGTTTAGAAAAAACTGCGTCCCGTAAAGTCCGTTACATTTCTATTAAAAAACCACTTTTACCCCTTATCTTTTCATACCCTACCTATCACATCATACCTTTTTTTTTAATAATCTATCCATCACATCTTACTTTTACCCATCACATCAAGGGTATTTTTGGAAAGTCACATCAGAGTACATAGTTTAATGGTCATTAGGCTTAGTGCTTTTTCCCAAATGAGGTACATGTTTTCTTAAAGGTGAGTGCTTGTTTTAAAATGGCAGATATGGCAGCAAGAATGATAAGTCATATAAAATACAACAAAACAGAGTGGACTTGCAAGGTAAAAGTTATTGAGAAACGTAAAATTATAGATTTCAAGTTTATCGTTGTGAACGAGTACGGAACTTTTGTGTTGCAGGATGAAGAAGTAAGTTTACGAATTAACCTTGTTCAGAAACCAATCTTATGATATATTTGTGCCTTTCATTTTTTATATTTCACGCAATCTTTAATGCACAGGGAACCAAGGTTCTTGCTATGACAAATTGTGGTGATATTGAAGAGGTCGATATGATACTTGGTATCAAGAAAACACACTACATCACAAATGTTGCTCTCATAAAGTATAATGCCGTACAACCCCTATCTGCAAACTATAATTTCATATGGATGTTGAGTAGGAGAACGTACATTGCGCAAGCCCCAAATTCTAAGGAGATGATAAGTCATATAAAAGACAACAACACTGAATGGACATGCAAGGTCAAAGTTATCGAGAAACGTAACACTAGAGATTTAGAGTTTATCCCAAACGAGTGCAGACCTTTGGTGTTGCAAGATGAAGAAGTGATTGAGAGAATGCCTAGAGAGTATTTCTCCAATGCTGGAAAGGCAAAGACCGCTCATGACTACATGATTGTTAATGAGGAGTACGTATTACTATACATACGAATTTCCTTTGTTTAAGGTATACCCATATTTTACATCTGGACTTTTTTTCGTGAACAGAATGAAACCAATGCTTGGGAGCCTATGGGAAGACTTTGCGATGAATAAAGGGAACGAAATAGCATCTTTGTTTGATAGTGAAGGGCACCAAAGGAAAAAGAAAAGAGAACAAGTAGTGAAGTAATAAGTCTAAGAAGATTGAGCTTTGATGAGGCAGATCTGCAGCATCCATTGAGAAAAAACATCACCCAAGAGCTCACAGGAAAAATAAAAAATTGTGTTTCCTAGGTTCCTATATTCAACTTTTACATTTTGCATGTTTTTCTTTGTATTTAAAAAAAAGAGTTAGATGTTAGAAGAAACTGGAAAGAACTGGAAAATGTAAATGTTACTGAGTGGGAACTCAAAAAATAGAGCCTTAAATCCATTTCATAACTTTTTGAAGACTAAAAGCAATGTCAATTTGTTTTCTTTTGTTTTTCCTGTCGAATTTTCCTTTGTTCATCCTGAGAATAACCTTCTTAATTCAACTGCAGAACAACGATTTTCATTCAATCTAATGGGGCTTTCCCTGGAAATTATTCAACCATGTCCAGGAAATTGAAGAGGAATGATAGGGGTACACCATTTAGTGTACCCCATTTGTACACCAACAATCATAGCCATAGATTTCCCTTAATATTTTTAATTTTTTTTTCTTTTCTTGCTTTTGTGTAATGGAGATGGAGGGGGGTACAAATGGGGTACAAGAATTGCGTAAAACGAAGAAAAATTTTAAGTTTTTTCAATCTATTTTTTTTAAATATTGGTATATAAATGAAAAGTAAAACTCATATATTTAAAACTACATTAAAAGTTCAACAAAACAAGTGGTAACAATTCTGACAAGAATATTTTTATTTTATCATACAGATTATGAAAAACATAAATAAATAAAAGTTCTCATGAAGTTGGAATAATGTTATGTAAAGAAAGGTATGAGACGGAGGGAATATTATTTAAAAAGTTTTATAAATTTATTAATTAAAAAAAATTGTTTATAAACATCTATTGCATTTAATTATTCATTTTTAAAAATTTCGTCTTTATTTATATGTATTTTTTATTTCTCAAAAATAAAGGCTTTTTGGAATAGTGCTATGTAAAGAAAGGTATGAGACGGAGGGAATATTATTTAAAAAGTTTTATAAATTTATTAATTTAACAAAAATTTTACTCCTAAAATCAATTAAATTGAATTGAAAATAAAGTCGGTCAAGCCTCGTAACACGTAATGGGAAGATCATACATGGACAGAGGGAGTAATTCAGAAAATAGTAACACAATAACACTTTCAAGGGGGCGGTTCGGGTGACATGAACCCCCATGTCATCCTATCACATGGGCCCTGATTAGGGCATCTACATTCCTCCGTTCAAAAAATTAAAGGTTCTTACCTCCATGTCATCCTATCACATGGCCCTGGTTAGGGCATCTACATTCCCCCGTTCAAAAAATTAAAGATTCTTACCCCTAATACCCTGTAAACCCCTCACCTTCAACCCAAACACAAACAGAACATACCCGCATCCCGTCAATTGCATGAAATTGATGGGGTGTAGATAGATGAAGTGATAATGTGCATTCAATATTCCGTACTTTATTTGTGTAGATAGATGCTAGGCGGGCGGGAAGAAGGGCTCCGGCAGAGGACTTATTAATATACACTGATTTTCGCTCTTCACCAGCCGATCCTCATTGGATTTAGGGTTTGATTTCTTTGGCAGTTTTTCCTCTCCATTCGTCAAACGCAGGTTGTTATTTGATCACAGATTTAGATTAGTTTTGCATTGGTAGTATCTCAAGATCGATTAAAAATATTCACATTGTTCACTTCTGTCTGTAGCTCTTATTGTTTGATTCTCAATCTCTAAACTTCCTGTTCAATTAATGGATTTTTCTTGTTTCTTTGATCTGTACATGGGTAAAGTTCTACCTGTGATTTCCCAGTAGTTAATAATTTATTTGTTTTTATTCATTAATTTATGTAATGTAGATGGAGAGGAATGTAAGAAGGAGAGGTTCTAGTGATACTGGGGCTATGGAGCAGCTTCCTTTGGAGGTCATTGGTGAGATATTGTCTCGCGTTGAAGTTGCACGGCATGTGGTCAGAGCTTCTCTAACTTGTCACAAGTGGCGAGAAGCTTATTGCAAGCACCTTCATACACTTTCCTTTGATGTTGCTGATGATGAGCGTGTCTATTGCCGTCTTCCTACTAGCAGCTTGGAAATATTGATCACAAAGACCATATTTCAAACATCTGGTTTACGAAAACTCTCTATTCGGATGCACGACAATCACAAGTTTTCGGCTGGTGCAGCTTTTGGCTGGTTAATGTTCACTAGAGAAACTTTGTTGGGGTTGTTTTTTATGGTTTGCACCTCTCCTGGCATTGATGTTCTCGATGTATGCGGAAGGAAGAAACTCAAAACCTTGTGTTTAGGTAAATGCACAATTAGGAACGTTGAACCGGTTTTGCAAAGATTCCCCTGTTTGACATCACTATCTCTAAATCGTGTCACTATTTCAGTAGAGGATCTGAATCGACTTCTTTTGGCACTTCCAAAACTTGAGTGTTTGGAACTAAGAAAACCTGAGCTACACGCTGAAGATGAGGTTCATATTGAAAGATTTCTCAAATTGCATTTTCCTACACTGAAGACTCTTCTTATTATTGATCTCAGTGAACTTGGACTTATTTTGGAAAAGTGTGATATTGGGTATTTGCTTGTGAAGAATTGTACTTTTGGATTGTTTAAGGTCACAGGCAGTAAAAATTTGACGCACTTCGAAATTTACGGGTCAGAGTTTCGACTTCTTGAAATTGAAGAGGCAGATGATCTAGAGAGTCTTGAAATCATCCATTGTCGTGTTTCTCAGTCAAATTTGTTCCCAATGAATGTTCAAGCACCAAAGCTGAAAAGGTTTCAAATTTGGGGATTTATGGAGCAAATGGAGTGTTTTAAAAGAGAGAATGAAATAATCCTCCATGAGTCCGGTTTAGTTGTGGATTTAGAACGAATAGCTGTCTGTTCTCCACAATTGAGCCATCTTTCATTGTTCTTTGAAAAAGGAGTTGTCGATGTCGAATATAAATTTAGTGGATTGTCTTCCTTGGAGAATGTGGTCATCTTGCATATTGGATGTGATTATTATACACGGGATTATTTTCATGGCTTCACAGAATGGGCAGAGAATTTGCTGAAGTGTTGTCCAAATGTTAGGAAGTTGATTGTCCACGGAATGGTTCCAGAAGAGAAAGATCACGGGTTTTTGGAGGACCTCTCAGAACAAACCTCGATGATGTTTGAAATGATGAGAAAGTACCCACATATAGAGGTGAAGTTTACGTACATGTATCGAACTTTGTTCCGAATCTATTGATGATTGGTCAAGAAGAGAAGGTGCTGCATTGGTGTTTCTACATTTTCAACCCCATCCCCATATCAGTGGAGATTTCTGCTACCTAACCAAACCAACAGTCCCGATTTGCATCGTATGCAGGTACATTGGATCTTCTCTTTTATTTAAGACTCTTGTAGGTTATAATCCATCTTGACCATGAAACTTCTATGTATCATGTTGAACATCTACTCCTAAAAATCTCAGTCCTCATTTCTTGACAAATGACAACCTAGTGCTCTTTTATCAGTTCTCTAGCTGTGAAATCAAAACTATCTGTTTTGTGCATCAAACCATCATAAATTGTTGATCTTATGAAAATGTGACGAGTCTTTGGTTTTTGTTTCGTTTGTTATCTCATTTTTGAATGGCATTGTGCATGTATTAGTTAGGAGGGCTGAATAATCCTGTTCTGCGGTGTGTGATTCCTTTCCTCCCGACTTTGTTGTTCCATTTCAGTGAATATATGATTTACTATTTTTCCTTCTAAGAAACTATGTGTAGACAAACCAGCCCGGCCTAGCCCATCCCAGAAAAGCGGATATAGACAACAATCATAGTGCTTTGAAAATTTTCTATCGGACCAACTAAATAGACCTTCCTCGTTTGATGAAGGAGAGCTCGAACTCTGTATCCAAATGTTTTTTTTTTGTAGCTGACTGCAGTTTTTTAATTTGCAAAGTATTAAAAGTAGTGAAAAGAAGAATTTAGTTAGAAAATATTCATTTGAGCTTGAGTTTGATGTTATAGATTGGAGTTGAATTATTGTATTCTGTGTTTGTACTTTATTTTCTCTTTGAATAAGGTGCATTGGTTTGGAGATGGCCCAGCTATGTACTCCATATGAATACTCTCTATATTATGTCTTTTCTGAAGCTGATTTTATATTTTTCTAAGTTTTCCCTTCCAAATTCCAATTTTGGGGAAAAAAGTTTAAAGAAAAGTTTACACCCTAATTTTGAAGTGCTCTATCTTTTTGTACCCAACTCTTTGCACCTGGAGTTATGATTGTAAACAAACCAAATGGAACTGAATCCAATATTCATAAAACTTATTCATATTTGCTACTTTTGGATGATATTCAAATTTGGATTTGGTTTGAATATTTTTGAAGATTCGTATGTGATTCATTTAAAACTATTAGGTTTGTTTGAATATAAAAATATCTTCTAAGTATTTGATTTATTTCTTAAAAAATATGTTTTAAGTATTTAAATTATTTTTTAAAAATATTTATAACTATACATTAAAGGGGGTGGGGGGTGTGTTCGGGTCGGGGCCGGGTGGGGGGATTTACTGGGGGGGTTAGGGGGGTAGGAACCGTCAATTTTACGAACGGGGCACCGGAGTGCCCCCGGGTCATCCCATGACATCAATGTTCAATGTCACTTGAACCTTGGTGTTAATTCTTATGTAAATTTTCTATTAATTTTTAAATATTTATAAATTTGACCTATGTTTTCAAATATATTCATTTAGGGAACGGATTGAATAGATTTGGGTATATTTCTACGGCTAGGTTCAACTGACATAAGGAAAAAAATGTCATGCTTTGACAACTCTTTTATCAGCAGCTGGATCAAAAGATGATTTAAATGAATGGTTGAGATGCATTTTTTTTATTTTAGCCAGGTTCTGGCGCCTGGGAGAGCAAACGGAAACATTCCCGGGAGGAAGGGCATCCCTCTGTTTTGTTGACACATGGCCATGACCTGGCCAAAACCTTGGATAGCTTGCTAGTTGGCCAAGTCATTCATGAATTGGGTCATGCTTGAGAAACATGACCCTCTTGGCTTGGCAGACGGAATGTGGATTGTGAACGGAGTGGAGATAGTTGGTGCCGAGATGGGGCTTAAACACATCGGCACCACGGCGACAGAGTGAGCTGGTTGGGAAGTAACCATCGGTATGGTCACTCTTTCAGCGGTGGCTTACACCAGGGCAGAAGGTTGTTCAAGAGAGTGGTGTTTTCATGAGTTGGTTTTTTGGATGAAGAAAGAAACCTTATCGGTCCCAAGGGTGGCACCAAAAATGATGGTGTAAATTACCAACCACGTTCCTAGGTGGCGCGAATGATTGCCTCTGTGTTTTAGTGGCTTGTTTCATCCCTTTATTCCCTTGTTATCTTGCTAGGAAGGTGACTCCCTTGTCGCGTAGCATGTTGGACTGATTGCGTGAATGAATTCGGCCGCTACAGTCCAACCTCCCTTGGATTCTTTCATGCCGACACTTCCCAGCACTAGAAACCATACCGATTACGTCGTTTGATCGGTAAAGTAATCGAAGTGTACCGGTCAAATTTTTGTCACCGACCAATATAAACTTTTCTCGTTTAAGCTTCCTATTCCAAAAAATCATTGTTTGACTGGTCAAACGTTTGTGGACTTTCCTTGGACCGGTACTTGGTGGAATACGCCCATCAAACAACATATTATTCACAAGTATGGAGTAAGAAAATGTTTAGGAAGAAAGATATGTATTTCACAACTAGTTTTGTTTCCTTAGTCCTTGGCGATTCTGCTTGCTTGTAATTTGTTGGGAATGTTTGGTGATCAATATATTTGTGGATTTTGTGCATTCGGTCCAAAAAAAATTAAAGAGGAATCGAGGTAGTAGGTGCTTATACTCAATATTTACTGATTTTACTCAATACATCAGAAAGCTCATGCAACCATCAAACATGTCTGAACCTACTTTACTAACAACATGGTTACATAAAAACCACAAATTAAAAGAAACGAAATCCACTCACCATTGCGACGCAAGCCTCTCTCTATCTCGACGAAGACGACGGCTCACTGTCAGAGTCTCTTCACCTTCAATTGAAGGTCGGTCCGTTCTAAAAACTGGTAAATTCTAATTTCTCCCCCAAATTCCTTAGTCTCTTCTTCCTCAAATACTAGTAGATTTCAGTTTCCCCCCTTCAAATTCACGTTTTTTGGTGATTGTTTTAGATATTACTTTTTTGTTTTTTTGTTTAGATCTTAATTCTAGAAAACCCAAGTGCTTACAATGATCTTAATTCTAGAAAACCCGGAATGCAAACCACAGTAAAGCAATTAAACAACTTTATAATGTGGCGACACAACAAATCGTTACACTCAAAGAGACCGCACGAGCAACCGACATTATGAACTAAGCCATGCTCAACAGATATTACACTTATGTTCACGGTGTAATACTCCTTTGGATCAGTCACATGTCGCACAATGTACTCCTCATCAGGACCAACAAAATCACTTAGTTTGATGCACCTGTACCTCTCCGCTTTGGATAATTCTAAATAAAATTCAAGGTACATAGTACGAGTGTATACCTCGGCTGCGTGATCTTCTAGATAAGAGTTTCGATCACAATTCCTTGTCTTGTGCCTGCTTTTAAAATCTTCGCGCCGCATCGCTTCATAACGATCTTCCATAACAATCTCATATTGGCGAATAAATTCTTGTAGCGATGTTCTAGCATTCACTTTTGCACTGAATAAGGAGTCCATGCTCTCTGCTCGTTGACTTGCTTGCATGCCTGTTTAAAAGATATGAAAAAAACAGTATTTGTAAATAAAAGATAGGTAGATAGGTAAAAAAATAGTATTCGAATAAATCTTAAGTTATGTGTAAAAAAAGTATTGTACCTGCAAAAAAAGTATCAACTGTGAACACAGGCACCCATTTCTCTTTAATATCAAATAGGTCGTTTAGCCAAGAATTCTCTACCAAATCATATCTTTGAATAATTTCAGACCATTGCTCAATGAAGTGAGATTCTGACAAAGATTTTTGAATGATTGCTTGCATTTCCTTTTTAAATTATTTACCTTTATTGCAAGCAGGAGGAAGTTTCTCTGGGAACTTCTTCAAAATATGTCAAATACAAAATCTATGTCGAACATTGGGAAAGACGACATGGATTGCATTAGAAATGGCCTTATCTTGATCTGTAATAATGAAAATTGGCTCTTTTCCCTCCATGGCCTCAAGCCATGTACGAAATAACCATTCAAAGGTGTCTTGCTGCTCATCCATGACCAATGCACACCCAAATAAAATATTTTTCTTGTGATTATCAACACCAGTGAAGGGTGCTAAAGGCATCTCATATCTATTGGTCTTATAGGTTGTATCAAACACTATGGCATCTCCAAAAATTTTATAAGCCATCCTAGAACGGGCATCCACCCAAAAAAAATTAGACATCCTCCCTTCATCATCGATTTGCATTCGGTAAAAGAATCTAGGATCTAACTCGGCTTGGCTTTCACAGTACTCTAAAACCCCTTGGGCATCACCAACTTCCAAAATCTTTGAGCGTACATCTCGCATGTGATTGTAACAATTACGCTTGCTAAAACGCCCCTTGCCAAATAATGTCGCTACTTTTCCAATTGGTATGCCATGATCTTTAAATAGCTCTATCACGTGTTGTCCACTTTCCTCGGTTGCTTGTCCTTTCGGTACAAAAAGAGATTTGTTTGGAGTCACGGCTGCGTGATTATGTTGGGGCTCGAAAGATAAAATGATCCACTTTTTGAGTTTAGGGTCAAACTTCAAACTAATTGCGTGTTTGCACTCAACTCTTATGGAGGATGTTTTCCTTTTCTTCTTTCCACTCACATCTGCTACTTTTTGGCAACATCTTTAAATCCCGCTGCTCGACATACCCACCTACGATATCCATCGCCTATACTGCTCCGCCTTCTTGTATAAAAACCATTAGATGAACTATAAGCCTTGTAGAAATCTTCAAATTCCTCAATAGTTGCAAAACTCATTCCAACCTTGGGAATATTTTCATGATGGTCTTCATTTATTACTTTTCTTGGTGTTGAAAAGGACTCACAAAAACCAACAAGTGGATCCGAGGTGCTCATCTCAGATGTTAGTAACGGTGTTGGTTCCTCCACACACATTAAATCCATTATATGGATGTAATCAGTGGCCTACAAATTTGAAAGCAGCATAAAACATGGTTTCAAAATACACCAAAATGACTCCTGTCAAAATTTAACCAAGTGAAGAACAAATGTGTGTTTTTATCAAGTGAAGAACAAAACTGACTGACTTTTTACCAACATTTTCTGTCAATATAAACCATCACACTAGCACAAAATGTTGATGCATGCATTTGGAGTACAAGTTTTGGTGTATAAATAGCTTAATCTTATTATCATTGGTCTTACTGATCTTAGACTTTTGTTGGAAGAGTGTGATATTGGGTATTTGCATGAAAATTTAATCTGAAAAACTTGCAGATTATGCGGCGGTTGATTAAGAAAATTTAAAAAAAAAACACATGCACGTCATAGAAAAAACTATGTGACAATTGGGCAAGGAAGGTGGCGGAAGAATAATATACTCCGTAATAAAAAGAGTATATCAGTTGTTGGAATGGTAATGTCATTTATTAAATTTGGCAATGCATCTGAATTCTTATTTCAATGGTATATTCATTCATGAGCATCGAGCAAGTGAATACTCATTATCGAATAACTGAATAATCATTTTTCTTAAATTTAGTTATTCTCGTAAATGAATATTCAATTACTCAAAAATGAATATTTTATTATTTAAAAATGAGTTTTCAATTTTTTGAAAATGAGTTTTTAAGCGGAGGTATGTATGCAAAACATCATACATCCAGATCTATGATATAGGTACTCTTGGGAGTACTGGCGTAAAATACAGTTCTTTTTTAAATAATGGTGTAAATAAAATATATTTTTCATGTCAGCCTCAAAATTGATTACAAATTTTTGGAGCTTACATCCTTATAACTTTTGTTTTTTGTATATTATTATTTTTTATTTTTATAAAATAAAATATATTTTTCACCTCTAATTTTATAGAATTTTTACATAGTTTTTAATATGCAAATTTTTTTCAATATAGTTATACTAAAATTTAAATAAGTGAAATTTGAAAATACTCCCTCCGTCTCAAATTATTTGCAACGTTTGCTTTTTCAGCAGTCGCGGAAACTTTTGTTTATTTCTACGTTTTCATTGGTTATTTGATAAAATAAAATATTCTTGACATCTCTTATTTCAAAGAATTTTTCATGTAGTTTTTTGATATGTAAATTTTATTTATTTTTATTTATATACCAATATGTAAATAAAATGAATTGAAAAAAATTAATATTTTGTCTCGGAAATACAAGTGTGGCAAATATTTAGGGACGGAGGGAGTATGTAAGAATTTGCTTCGTGAATAGAAAACTGTATTCAAATTTGGAAAATGCTAGGGTGCCACCACATGGGTGCACACAGACAATAATTGTCTGTGCGACACAGACAATTATCGTCTGTGTTTGTCTGTGTAAAGCATGGGTGCACCCATGTGTTGGGTGCTTCAAATTTGTAGAGTATGACAGTAAGACTATGTCGGATGAGCGTGACCGGCCATCACGCCCCCTCCACCATGCCGCACTCACTGCTGCTCCGCTACCACTTTTCTGCTCCATACTGTTGAAAAGCAACTATAATGCCGTTGAAATTTTTTCTGGACTATAATGGTGTTCCTCAACTGTGTTCGAGCAGCAATAAAACTAAATTGAGTACAATTAAAAAGTACTATTTCAGTAATAAAACTAAATTGAGAATGAAAAAAAGTGGCAGGAATCCTAAAGGACGGGTTCACCTCTGGAGTCCGGATTTCACATTGGAAGCACAATAACCGGAGGGAGTAAAACTTTGGGAAGTCACCAGCGAGCGAGCGCCTGGGGAAATGGCAATAACACTTCCAAGGAAAACCTCTTGTCACCAACGAAGCAGCTTTTATAGATCTCCTGCATATAAATATGGCTATGGTCGAGCCCCAAGAAGTTAACAATTCGCCACTCATTTGAAATTAGGGTTTGCATTTCTCGCAGACTTCTCTCCTCTATCTGTCAACCTCAGGTAATTTATTTCAACAACTTTAATCTTAGAAACCCTAACTTTATCATTTGGAGTCTTGTTTGTTTCATTGGTATGGGTAGAGTTCTACCCTTCTACTCCTGACTTCACAATTGTTAACTTATCTCTCTTTTTTCTGTTTTGATTTGTGAAATGTAGATGGAGAGAAATGTTAGAAAGAAGGATTGGGGAGGGAATTCCTGTTGTGGTGATTGGGGAAAGTTTGTCGCGCGTGCGAGCTGCATGAGATGTGATTAGAGCTTCTCTAAATTGCCGTAAGTGGCGAGAAGCTTTTCGCAAGCACCTTCATACACTTTCCTTTGATGTTAATGATATGATTATTGTTTTTATCGTAACCGTCCGACTCTTGAATTAGAAATGTTGATCACAAAAACCATATTTCAAACATCCGGTTTGCGAAAACTTAGGATTGTGATGCACCGTAGGCACGAGTTTTCAGCTGGTTCAGTTGTGAGCTGGTTAATGTATACCAGAGAAACTTTGTTGGACTTGTGTTATGGCGTTAGCACTTCTCCCAGTATTAATGCTCTTGAAATAGGCGGGATGCAGAAGCTTGAAAGGTTGGGTGTATGTCAATGTCAATACGCAATAAAAGACTTTGCTTCGAATTTCCAAGGATTCCCCCATGTGACATTACTATTTTTAAGTGATATCTGTATTTCGGGAGAGAACCTAAATCGATACCTTTTGGCTTTCCCTAAACTCGAGTGTTTGGAGCTTGTGAGCCTCAAGTGGGAAGAAAAAACAGTCACATTGTGTTTTCCTGCGTTAAAGGCCCTACTTCTTCGGCATATCTTAAACGATGAGCTTATTTTGGAGAAGTGTGACATTGACTACTTGGATGTGAAAGCATGTTTTTTTCGTTCATTTAAGATTGCCGGGAGTATGGGTTTGAGGCACTTCACATTTTCTCGCTCGGGGGCTTATCTTCTTGAGATTAAAGAGGCAAACAACTTAGAGTGTTGAATTCATCGCTTGTCAAGTTGCTGACTCAAATTTGTTCCCAATTGCAATCCATGCACCAAAGTTGAAAACATATCGAATTTGGGGGTGTAACAGGAAAGTCATAAGTTTATACATAGGGGATTATATAATACTTGATCCACCCTGCCGACTCGTGGATTTTGATGAAATGGCTGTTTGTTTGCCACAGCTTAGCCATCTGTCAATATTTTACAATCTAGGAGAACATCACGATTACAAATTTGGAGAAATGTCTCTCTTGGAGAATGTGGTCTACTTGGAAATTGGATGGGATTCTTTTACTGGCTTCTGGGAATGGGCAGAGAATGTGTTGCAGTACTGCCCAAATGTTAGGGATTTGATTTTTCATGGTATGATTCCAGAAAAAACTGATCCGAAGTTTTTGAAGGACTTTGCTGAGCACAACTCATCAATGGTTGAAATGATGAAAGACCCAGAGTTTCAGCATATCGATGTGCAGTGTGTGTACACGAATCGGTCCAAGTTCCGAGAGCACTGGAAAATATGGTATTAGAAACTAACTTAACGACTGAGGTTTCAGAATTGTAGTCATTCTGTTGAAGTTTTGGTTGCAAATTTTCGTCCAGAAAACAAACGTCTGCAGAATCTGAAGGAGCTTGAAGAGTTTGACGAATCATCAATGGCGGAAATGCTGAGGAAGTTTCAATTTGGGGCAGGTTGATAACATCCTTTTCTCTTTTTTCAGTGTGGGTTATAAATCTATCTTAGTCGTGTGTTTTCTGTGCGTGACATTGTGAACATCTTATTTCTGGAAAACCATATGTTATTTTATCTATGGTTGTCTTGCATGAAATCAAATTCTTTGTTGGTCTATTGTATTATTTATTCATGTTTTGATCCATCCAGGTGTTACAATTGTTACATCATGTCATCATGTGGATGAGACAAATACTGGGATGAACTAAAGCAACAAAAATGGGCAAACATAGTATGAGTAGGATCGTTGGACCTTTTTTTTTGTGCCTAAAATTCATTGAGTTGGAGCTTTTCGTTATGTGACGGATGGACTATTTTTAGGACGCGTTTGGTGAGCGTAGGAGATAAGGACGTATTTAGTTTGATTTTTTATTGTGTTTAAAAAAAATATTCCGTATACAAAAACGAAGTTTAAAATTTCTTTTAAACTAGTGAAAAGTATTGGTTTGTTTTTTTCCCGAAACATGGCATGCTTGTAGTCGAGCTCACTTGCTAATACGGAGTAATAATTAAACCAACGAAGAACGAATTGCTTGGACCGACTAGTACAAAAAATGAGAAATAGCTAATCCATAATTGCTCTTGGGCATTGTTTGGCACGAGACGTATGCAACGATAAACAAATCGCTTGGCAAGACTTTTAATAAACTCTTATACCTTGAATAAAACGTTAACCCATTTTAGGATTCTCTCAGGCTCGACTCAAATAATCATACGAGAAGAGATTGATAAGTATTTGTTATCTGAGCAATAGGAAATGTGATTTGTACCTGATCGTGACAAAAGGATCTTATGCAAACCATAAACAATTAAACATCCAGTCTTTGCTCGGAATCGAACCAGGCCATAACACCCTTTTGCAACCCCTTATTGAACATTTGAGTTATGCAATCCGGCTACAATCCTTTTTGCACTTTTTATTGATCACTTGAACTGCGCCAAGAGTCAAACACAACCGTTAGGGGCCTCTCCTTTTAATTGGGACATCCTATTTTTTTTCCCTTCACAATTGCGAGCTCGTGTCCCTCCTATTGGGAAATGCTTTTACATCGAATCTAATTCTATAAAATCCCAATTGTAAAAAATATACAAGTCCTTGAAATTGAAAAGGGTAGGGAAGAGTCGGTTGGAATAAGAGTGAGTGGAAGTGATTGAAAAACTAGGGTAGGATATGTTAAAAAAGAAGTGTGACTTTAGTTTTGGGATGCCCAATTTGGAAAGTGTGACTTTAGTTTTGGGTTAGAGTTTAAAAAGGAGAAAAATGCTACTTCCCCCATGACACCAATGTTGACACCATTCTTGGATTGTCTGTGTGACAATTACATTGGATTGTCTGTGTGACGAATTGACGATAATAACCACTGTCATTAAGACAATAGATGGTGTCTCACTCGATGTCATCGATAACATGAGTACATGACAACATGACCCTAAAAAAGAATAGTCTCAAAAGATTTCAGGTTCTGAGATAGTAATACCAGCAAGGATAATTCTTAGATTAGAGCAACAGAGATTAGATTACGATGCTATAAATTATAAATAAGAGAATACAAGGCTTTCCACAATGTCATACACTGAAGCTTCGTGCCTAAGAAGGATACCCACGAGAGTTGGAAAATGACAACATACCAAGTAAAATTCTATAAAAGTAGAAACTGGGGAGGGTGTGTGTGCGTCGGATCTTACCTACTTGGAAACGATCTGAAAATGACCGAATACATAACGATTCAAGAGTGTTTGTGTGCGTACCTGCCCCAAGGCACAGAAATTACGCGTAGAGTTGATACTTGAAAACAAACTGCACTTGTATATGCTGATACTTCCTCATCATTTCGAACATTGATGATGTGTGCTCGCCAAAGTCCTCCAAATACTTCGAAGGACAAGGAATACTAGCCTCTTTTGGAACTACCCCATGGACAATCAATTTCCTAACATTTGGGCAGCACCTCAACACCTTCTCTGTCCACTCACAAAAGCCATCAATGTAATCCCATTCCCATCCGATCTCCAAGACCCATACCTTCTCCAAGGAAAGCGAGAATCCAAAACTAATGTTACAAAATGATCCATTATCACAAAATATTGCAAGATGGCTAAGTTGTGGTGAACCAACAGCTAGTGGTTCCAAATCCACCACGAGTCCTTTCCCTTTTTCAACAATTTTAGAATCCCAAATTCGAAACGTTTTCAACTTTGGTGCGCGTATCTTCATAGGGAATAAATTTGACTGCGCAACATCACTCCTTGTGATTTCTAAACTCTCGAGGTTGTCTCCGTCTTCAATTTCAAGAAGAAGAGCCCTAGCGCAGGACATGTTGAAGTGCCTCAAAGTTTTACTACCACCGATCTTAAATAAACAAAAACCACATCTTGTCACACGCACGTACTCAATACGACTACCATTCTCCAAAATAAAGTCCATGGGTTGAAGATGAGTAAGCGAAAGAAACTTCAATGAAGGACAATGCAACTTGACTGTTACTTTTGCCGAATAAACATCATCGTTTAAACCCCATAGAAACATATCGGTAAGTTCCACATGCTCTAGTTTGGGAATAGCCAAAAGAAGTCGTTGCAGTCCCTCTACTGGAATACTGACGTCACATAGAGAAAGTGAAGTCAAACATGGGAATCTTTTGAAATTCGGCACAACCCCTGTCACTGTGTAATCACATAAACTCAAGGTTTCAAGTCGTTGCCTTCCAAATACATCAAGAACATCAATAGGCTGAGAAGTTCTAGCCTTATAAAACAACTCGGACAATGTTTCTCTGGAGAACATTAACCAACCCACCACTGAAGTGGCTGTAAATATGTGCTTCTCATCCATCAGAATTGACAATCTTCGCAAACCGGGTGATTGGAAAAGGGTCTTTGTGATCAACATTTCTAAGTCACAAGTAGGGAGTTCCCGATAGACATGCTCATCATCATCGACATTAAAGGAAAGTGTATGAAGATGTTTGAGATAAGCTTCTCGCCACTTGGAACAAGTTAGGGAAGCTCGAATCACGTCTCGTGCAACTCCTACACGAGACAATATATCTCCAATAACCTCAAGAGGAACTTCCTCCACAATCCCTCCGCAACCATCACCGGTATTAGCCCGACTGCCAGATCTGTTTCTTTTGTTGTTCCTTGCCATCTACATTCAGTGAAATAAACTTTAAAATTTGAATAAATAAATAATCATCAAAGCAATCATGAAGAGGGAAATGCAGGTACGCATAAGGAACAAAAATTCGGATCACCAAAATTAGGGTTTTAAAGTTTCAAATTCACAAGTAGAATCAAGCAAATAAATGATGATGAACTTGCGATCAACAAATATAAATACGCGATGTTAAAATATAGGGAGAAAAAAATTACCTATGGAGGCAGCAACCGATATGAGTGTGCGGCAACGTCGATTGGGATGATCTTATGCAACCGCTTGAAGGATCAGACGCGTTGGTTTTTTAGTTTCTACTCCCTCCTGCGAAAATGGTTGAGTTTTTATAAATGGTTAATAGGGAAGGATTTGTTTAATTAACTGTTTAGGTTCAGAGTCAGGCTTAATAAATCAGATTTATTCATATTAATTTCTATAAAATCTATAAATATTTTCAAAATGGTTTAAATTAATTATTATTGTCTATATTTTATAAGGTTTATTGTGTAATTGTTTTGTGTGTTTGTACTCCCTGAGTTTTACTTCTGAGTTCGAGTTGATGTTGTGATTTTATATCTTATCTATTATTAGAGCTGGCAAAACGGTCGGTCAGGTCGGGTTTGAGTTCGGTCACTTCAAGTTCAGATTATTTCGGGTTTGGGTCAATTCGGGTTGAGAACAGTATGTTCATGACGCAGTGTCATCGGGTTTGGGTCGACCCAACAGTTTATGACTTTGATTTTTTAAATTTTAAAATTCACATTAACACTTACCTTTTCTATTAAATAAATTTAAAATATCAAAAAATATGTATTAAATCTACTAGATTATTATAATATAAATCCAGAAAATATTTTAAGATATAAAAATCAAAATAAGAAATTTAAAAAATGCTTAAGTTTAGAAAAAAAAGTAAGAAAATTAAGCAATATCATTGAAATTTTGTATGAAAATATAAATTGATACATTAAAAACGAGTAGTAAAGTGTATAATTGTGAAAAACTCTTTAGCCGGTCAGTCAGGTCGAGTTCGGGTTCGGTCGGGTTTGACCTATTTTTAGCGGGTCTTTTCTGGTTCGGTCAACTTCGGGTTCAGTCATCAAAAGCTTTGTTCAAAACCTAGTATTTTCAAGTCGGGTTTCGAGTCAAAAAAAGGTCAGGTCATTTTTTGTCAGGTCTATCTGTTATCCTATATATCTTTATTTTATTTGCTTGTGTTTATTCTTTTAAATTTATTTATCAAACTCCCATATCTCTTAGTTTTAGTCATTAGATTTTAATTAGTTTTTATTCAATAAAAGCGACAAAATAACTAATTTTCATAACAATAATAAATATCTTTCTTCGTGTGATCGACCTTTACTTGCCCTATCTATATATTTTAATCAATGTTAATTCATGAAAATAAATTTAAGTTAAGGAAAATAATAAATTAATTTGTAACTGTTACGCCACGTCCATCACTATTTGAAGTAAACAAATAGATTATGAAGAAGATAATAAAACACTCTTGCCTCTAATGGAAGAAAAATTTAAAATGTTTGAAGTATACATTTTGATATTTTAGGTGTTAATCGATGAAATCCAAAAAAATTAACACTATGTTTGGCTCAAGGATTTTGAAAGAAAAAGAAAAGAAAATGGTTTTCTCTCATTTTCTTCACCAAAATGGAAGGAATTTGATTTTCCCTCCACTTGGTACATTTTGTCTCCTCATTTTCTTTTTTTTCCACTTTTCCTTTCTTTTCCCCTCTAATCAAACAAGAAAAATAGTTTTCCACTTCACTTTCTTTTCTTTTCCCTTTCAAATTCCTTGAACCAAACATAGTGTAAAAGAAATTTTTTATAGGAAATAACATATACTTGAACGGTCCCAAAAAACTTTTCTATTTTTACTTAACTCCAAAAAACCCTCAACTTTGAATCAAAATCTTCCTTTTGTTTCTACTAATTATAGACTTAGAAAAATGACTAAACACGCCCAGGAACAGTTATTTATATTCTAACACGCCCCCTCACGTGCAGGCGTAGTCTTTTTTTGAACCTTGCAAGTGAAACCTTAATTTTTTTTAAACTGGGTGGCGCTGAGTTTCGAACCCGTGACCTCTTAGTCAACGAGGCTCTGATACCATGTCAAGGAACCAACTCAACCAAAAGCTCAAGCTTGTGGTTGTGGCCCAGGAACAGTTATTTATATTCTAACACGCCCCCTCACGTGCAGGCGTAGTCTTTTTTTGAGCTACCCGGTAAATAACTGAGTGAAACATAAAAAGATCGATTAACCAAAATTGGAGTTATCTGTTTTTATTTTCAAAATAAGAGTTAAAAATCATACACTATGTCAATCATGTCAATACATTACCAAAAATGTTAAGCGGCAATATACAATGACACATTACCATATGCAAACTCCTATTTTAAGAATAAAAAATAAAAGTTTTATTTTGAATTTTCTCTATGTTTTACTTTTATTTAGGATGATTTCTAAGCAAACTTATATGTGTACTTGTTGAATTGTATTTATCTACATATCATATCATATCCAATAAAAAAACTAAGCGTAAAATTTCAAGTAATACTAAAATTTTATGTTTGTAAAATCTCATTTTGTTTCTAAAGTAAATTCAAAACGAAAGTTCATAAAAAATCTTCAATTTTCATTTGTTGCGGAAATTGTTGCGGAAAATGGGCTTTAGTTAAAAGCTTAATTGCGATCCAAAACTCGCAAATTTTAGAATAGTTGAGATTATTAAGCATTACATGAAAAATTAGAATTATTTTTAAAAAAGAAGTAAAATTGGGATTATTCTAAACAAATTTTTGAAATTAAATGTAAAATGTAATCTACACACAATAAGAAATTAATAATACCCCCTTAGTTTGGGTCATAAAAATTCAAACATGGCCAAGGCTACGTTCCGTTCAACTTATTTTTTCTACTTAGTACTTATTCTTATTAAAATTAGATCAAATCAGATCTCACCTGATCTAATCAGATCAGATCAAATTAAATATGATCACATCTAGTCAGATGAGATCTAAACAAAAATAATATTACTATTACTATTATTATTAATACAATTACTCTTATTATTACTATGGTTGTTATTCCTAATATTACTATTATGATTATAATTATTGTTACCATTGTTATTATTATCAATATTATTATTGCTGTTATTATTATCACTATTATTATTGTTATTACCAATAGTATTATTATTATTATTATTACTATTATTATTAGTAAAATAACTATTATCATCATCATTATTATTATTATTATTATTATTATATTTCTATTATTATTATTATTAATATTTCTATTATTATTACTATTATTTATATTTTTGTTATTATTATTGCTCATATTATAAATATAATAATAATAATTTTAATTTTAATTTAAATCAAATTTATATCAAATGAAATTTTATTAGATTAAATCATATCAAATTAGACCAAATCAAAGCAGATCAAACCAGAACTTCAAAAAAGTCAGATGAGGCCAACTCAGCCTAAGAAATTCAAACGGCCTATTCCCAAATCCCAACTAAAAATATACTCCGTACGTAATTATTATTATCCAATTGGCGGTCCAAGAAAGAGAGAACAAAATAAATTATGTTTCCTGGCTAAATCACTCACTACCCATACGGATCGGAGCAGGACTAGGAATTAGGATACCTTCAATCCTAGGACAATTAGGACTTAATTAACCCATAAATAAAACAAATCGGCAAGTCTAGGTAGGAGCCCTTCAATAATTCACTTTCATTCTCCCACTGTAAGTCCCAATTCCATGGCTGCATCTTTTTCATCTCTTCTGTGATCATATTCATGTTTTCTTTTTCTCTTTTTTTTTTCTGAGTGGGAGGTGATTAATTAAATTCTCTTTGAATATGTTTTCTTAATGTCTTATATCTACTTGATTTTTTTTTTGTTGCACAGGTAAAAAAAACAACAGAGGTCTGATCTTCACCTCCTAACTGATGATGGTGATCCAGTGGGTTTCACATTTTTCGTGCTTCCGTCCCGGGCGAAAAAACCGACACGGTCCGTTCCCAGATAATGTCTTAATCGACATTCTGAGCAGACTTCCGGCCGACGCTATTCTGCAGTGTCGCAAGGTGTGCAGGCACTGGAGGGCTCTGACTTCGTCGCGTGCTTTCGTCAAGGTGCAAAACCAAAGAGCCCCCTCCGTTGTTGTGGTGCAAGGTCAACGGCTCGGGTTGCTCGCCAGAAGAGATTATTTCGTTTACGATGCGCTCGCCAAGAAGCTGAGGAAGATTCCCTTCAAGTCTAAGCTCGGCTTCGTGGGCCGTGGCAAAACGTTCAAGAACAAGACGATTTCTCTGCACGGTGCCTGTGGCCCCTTGCTACATATTAAGGCTTCGGGGTACTACTACTTGTCCACGGGGTTAAACGACTTCGCTTTCAACCTCATCACTCGACAACTAGTAGCTGTGAATACGAGGAACGACGACTACGTGTGCGGGTTATTCTTTAATGAGGCGAGAAATGAATACAATTATCTATGCTTGCGTTGGCTTCCTGAGAAGTCGGCTCGGTTTTACGTGTACGGTTTAGATTCCCGCAAAGATGTGGAGATTGCAAGTAGCCCTTTCTCGTTTGGGTCGTGCTCAGACAGAAGCCCAGTCGTCGTGAACCAAGTCGTGTATTTGGTGGTGGACCGTATGGAGCAGGACGTAAACCACTGCATGCATGCGATACTCGTGTTTGACATGGATTCTGGAGAGTTCTGCAACATACCTCATCCAGAATTTGAATGCCCCGGTACAAGACTTCATCATTTTGGCATGTATTTGTTTGCTCGTGATGGCCATTTGTGTCTGTGCCGTAGTGACACGGAACGGGGGCTACTCGACATATGGACTTTGGAGGACTACGCAAACTGGTCGTGGGTCCCACTGGGTTCTACGATTAGTCTCCGTATCCCGAAAGGCCCTGAGGAGGCGGCTCGTTTCGCAATCCTTAGCGTACGAAAGGATGAGTTGTTAGTGTATTGGGATTCGTCTCTATTTCTCGTCAACTCGAAGGACGAAAGCGTTGAAGAAATAGAAATGCCGTATAAAGGGCGTTTCCGTCTTTCTTTTTTCGCTTACCGGAGCACGCTCGCGGCTCCGCATCTAGTTAGGGACGGAGGGAAATCTCCTCTTTTCCGTCTCTAATAAGTGTGCCATAAACTCACACCCTCATGCTTTTAATTTCTCTGGATACACCAAATTGGGAAAAAGGATTATTTATTAGTTATAGTTAATTATATTATGAGTAGTATAGTAATTTATTTGTTTTTTCATATGAGCATTGGTTTTGTTGCTCAGATATAAGCTTTGAAATATTGTTCACTCATAGTTTTCTAGTGAATTGTTCACTTTGTTGTTGTGACTTGTGCGCACTTTTTTCTTTAGTTTTAGTAGTAGCTTTCTCTACGGCAAAGCATGGGAAACATCCAAAATAACCTCTACTTTTAAAAGTTATTTAATTTTGTAATTTTTAAATAGTGCACACACACTCCCCTCTTGCCAATTTTTAGACATAAAATGACATGTCTACCCTATAATTTTCTTTATCTTCAAGTTTCACTCTTTTATTTGCATTTTTTGTTAGACAATTAAATAAAATAAAATATATGCCCTCTTTCTCAAATTAAAACTTTTCATTTACCTTTATTTTTCAAAAAAAAATTAGAAACTTTTATAAAAGAAAATGAAAATTAAAAAATGAAATAAAATACACTTTTTCATTATAAGTAAAAGTAAAATAAATTAAATAAATTAGATAACATATACACACTCTATCTCTAATTAAAAATTCTAACTTATTTCTCTTTTAAAAGTAAAATAATTTCTTAACGACTTTAAAAAATGAAGAACAGAAAGATGAAACAAAATACAAAGTTAAAGAAAAAGACTGCTTTTTATATTGTTCTTTCTTTTCATTACCTTTTTTCAATTATTATTTTTACTTTGTACATAATAGTTTATTTTCATTTTCTTTTGTAACATTCTCCAAAAAAAATCTTTTTTACTATTTTCAAAAATACATTATGGAAAATTTTAATTTGAAATGGGAAGCGTATATGTTATTTTATTTATTTGAATAATATAGCAAAATAACATTGGTAAAATTCAAGATTGAGGAAAAAAGGACATAAATGTCATTTTTGCTTTAAAAATAAGTAGGGGGAATGTGTGCTCTATTTAAAAACCATAACAACTTTACTTATAACGTTTGAAAATAGATGAGGTTTTGACACCATTTTTGTAAAACACGGGAGAGACTCATGCTATTAGCCCAGTAAATGAACATTCTAAATCTCATTAATAAACTCAAGTGATTTATTTGAAAAAATTCACCAACCGTTCAGTATTTAAATTGGTTAGGTTTATACCTAAAAGTAAATCCAACAATTGAATCGCAAGTATTTGCATCGGTTCCAACTGATTTAAAAGATGAAAATGACCAATTTAAAAGGCATCTTTTACGTTCCCAAAATACCTCTTCACCTCCCCCCATACCGGCAAATTATATGATACATCCAGCTGTACCTTCATTTAGGTACAGCCTAGTATTTTTGTAAATTTTACAAACTTTTTATCCAATGACCAAAACATATATGAGAACTATTATATATGACAATGAGAAGCAACAGATTTGAGAAGGAGTACGAGGAGAATTATCATATTCTTATTCAATACCTAGAACTTAGCACAAATTACTGCTGCCCAACCCCAATCATTCTAGGATCGGGCAAAGAAAAGTTACGACTACCCCAATCGAGCGAAACTACGGTTAGAGAGAAATTCCAGAATGGTCGCAGGCATCCTTTCGCCAAGGTGGAAGAATCAAACATTTGAAGAAGAAGAAGATGAAGAAGACTTGAAGAAGAAGAAGATCCTTCGTCGACGCCACAAATCTAAATCAGATTTCTCAGATTTGGCGGAGATATGAACGTGAGCCTCATGATTCTTTTGAACAAAAAAGATTTCTTTTCAAGCAATTGGTCGATCCACTAATCTGTTTTGCTAGAACTCGCAAGTGGCAGAGTTGTCAATTTAAATTGTTGATTTCTAGGTGTTTTTTCTTTTTGTTTCTTCTTCAATTGTAAGAGCATGAACAATGGCAAGTCATATACTGGAAGGCCACACGCTGACATGGCACTGTTTAACCAATCAAAATTAATCTAGTCACACAGTGGCATGGCATTAGAGTGGTATGTCCTGCAGTGGCAAGTCATTATTTTTTACTCACTTTAGATTTTTGGCATCTTTTAATCATTTTATTTTACTTTTTCTCAACTCAATATATTTTATTTTTGTTTTTTTATAAATGTTTATATTTTGTTGTGAAGATTTAAATTGTACGGAGTATACTTTAATTATTCATAATTATTTAGTAAAGTATTTAATTTGAATATGGAAAATTAAAAATAGAATATAAATTATGACGACACATTTTAAAAATTCGATATGAAGTTATATAAATAAAAGTTGGGCTTAGGGTTGGGCTTCTCGAGTTGCCTAAGTGTAATGAGCCTTCAACATCAAATTGCACAGGAGGGGAGTTTTGGGAAGAGTTTTCGGGACCAACTACTAAGGAATGCCAACATGGAACATCCCTTAGTTCACGCCACCAGTATTCTAAATTAAACTTCTTACCGTACGATGAAACATAATCCCTATGAGCCATCATAAGAATGTCTGATTCATTGGCGCCACTCGGATTCAATCGAGTAATCTTCTCAACGCATGCAAAAAATTTACTTACTTCTGGTTTTGCACGTAACCATCTAGAGTTGATGACTTTTTGTGTTCTAGGTTTAATATGAGAGGGAAGATCTAGGTTGTAGTTCTCCTCAACTCGTCTCCAAAACCCCCCTGCTTTTTGATCTGTGCCAATGATCGGATCCATGCTTACATTTATCCAAGAATGGATCAATCGAATATCTTCGTCCTGCGACCAATTTGTTTGTTCGAGAGGAAGAACTTGCCTCTTAGGAACACGCGTAGTTTGTGCCATGGGTTGAGAATTGCATTGTGATTCATTGTTTGTAATCTCTCCCTGGAGCAATAATTCAGTGAAGCTTCTACCATCATTCTCAATTTAAACCTACATATTTGTCCAAGTGCGGGAGTGGAGAAAGTGGATTTAAACAGACTGTAAATTTAGATGCCACTCTTTTTAGTTCCTTTTCTTTTATAGCTTAAAAAAAGATGCAAAAAAATGACTTTTTTGTATTAAAAAATTACTCCCTCCGTCCCAGAGTATTTGTCCACTTTCATTTTTACACACCATCCAATGCACTTCTTTAATCCATTTTATCTTGTAATTTGTACATTAAAAAATTATAAAAATTATATATTAATAATCTATATGTTAAGATAAATCAAACAAGATCACACATGACTATATTTAGGCTTACACATTGAGAGAATTTGATGAGTCAAAGTGCTTAGATGAACAGTTCCAAAAGTCAAAAGTGGACGAATATAGCGGGACGGAGGTAGTATTTTTTTACACAGTATGTACAGTACAAACATGACTTTGGTGAGACACATGATATGGCACACTGTTTTTTTTACAAATATGGTGAACACATGATACTTTGTTCAATTATCACAACAAAGGCAAATAAAACATGATACTTTATTCAATTGTCATAACAAAGGCAAATAAACACTGATGGGTAAATAAACATGTGAGTGGTGAGCCATACACTCTGCACACAAATATTTTTGCACAAGGGAAAGGTGGGAGGGAACGGCAGTTCAAATTCTGGTTTGACCCAACCAACAACTTCCACACTTACTCTATCATTTGGAAGCCCCAACATATCATGTAAGTTCATTTTTACACCAAAATTTGATTTTGGGTTTCTCAGGTTATGCTACACTTACACTAGAAATTATACCACATTTGTACACCGCAGTTATACCCAAACATTCTGATGGTTTACACCCCGACACTAGTGTTTGTGCGTTAACAAAAATGTACAAAATGGGGTACAAAAGTTTGGGGTACAAATAGCTTTATCCTTTGATTTTTCCTACATCAATTCTTACACCATTCCAAAAAAGGAAAAGAATTTTTTTTTAATGGAAATATGTATTTGGAAGTTGTCTGGTTTAGTTTGTCAGCCAGCATGTGTTTCAGTGTTCTTCAATTCTCTTTTAAGTCAACTTTCATTTATACAATTTGAAATGTAAACAAAACTTAACTAGACAGCACTAATTGTAAATTCTATTTGATCATTTTATGCACAAGAGAAAAAGTCCAACATTTAACTAATTGAAAAAATGCAAATAGGATTCTGTCCTTTCTGATTAATTTGAACTCTCTTATGCAACTAAACTTTCAGCCTACCTCCAAATGCTGAAACAGTTTGCCTACATGTAATATCCCCAAATGCTTCAATAAAGAATATCAAATTGTGGGTGTTTCACATTACAATCACTTTGAACAAGAGTGTAAATTGTAATGATTGTATTTCTCCAACAATAGTATTTTTTTTGTCCAAAAACTCAATAACCTACATTTGGACATTTATTCAAACACCTAGTGTGCAGTACCATGAATTCATATATTTGATTCTTTTGATGAATTAAAAACAATCCATTCGAACTAAAAGAGATCAAGCAGAGAGATGGAATGCAGAGCAATTAAAGTTAGAGATGAGTGGAGTTACCTGTGGGTTGTAGGTGAAGGATTATGGCCGGAGAAGACTATTGCGCAAAAGAGTAATTGTATTCTGCTGCTTCAATTTTGCCTCCCATCCGCCACGCAAAGCGAAGTGACTCGCGGAATGCCTCGCGACCCTTTTTTTTCCTCGCCCACTGCCGGGCTTCCCTCTACACGAATGGCAGGGCGTGGCAAGGTTTCTCCTTGCCGCTGCCAGTGCTCTAATAGTTCATGTACCAAACAAAATGGTCTTATTCAAAGTTTCTAGATTATACTTATTCCCTTCTTAAAAAATGTCTTAGTTACTATTTTGGTTTTTGACAATGTTTTTTTTATATATTTTGGTTGATCATTTGATTATCGGTTTTTCAAACACTTATGTTGCCCTTTCTTAATTAAGGGTTACCTCTAATTTTACAAAATTAAGATAAAATGGAAAAATTAATTTTCCGGAATATAATTCATTTACTAAAATTAAGATAAATTTTTTCTATGTGACTAGAGTGATCAAAGTCAACAAAAATGAAACATGCAATGTGATGAAGCAGAAGCACGCATAAAGCTCAACTCAACTCCAATTTTGCCCTCCAAGGGTCCAAACATCAATAAATGGGTGTGTTTGGTACTTGGGTCAATGGCATTTTAAATGAAACAAAAAGGTACTTCCTCTCTTCACCAAAATACTGCTTTTCTTTTTTTTATCTTCTACCTAGAGATACTTTTTTTAAAATTACTTGTATTTCTATTTTTTCTTATTTTACCTATTGCATCATATAATTTTTTCGAATAATTCATCCATTTTACTATACCCATCACATCAATGTAAAATTGTAAAGTCAATTACAGTTCAACCATTCTTTATTTTGACCTTTGGTCATTACTATTTGATGGTTGGCTTTCGGTTTTTGTTCGTTATACGTTAATTTTCCGATCAATATGACCTTGGAATGATGTTTGCTGATGACCATCGAGGAAATCTTGGCTTTTGATGTGTGTTTTTTGTTTATAGCTACGACGAATATGACTTTCTGACAAATATGTCTATGCATTGAAACCCAATTCAACTAGACTCGAGACAAAATTATAAATTAGATTATTCATCAAGACATGATTATAGGTATTTGACAAGAGAAAAAAGATTTGAAGTGATTATATAGTATTCAAGAGACTGGATAAATTTTGAGTTTCATTTAAACAAAATGGTAATGTGTATTAGTATAAACATATACTTTCACCACATGTTTAATGAACATTTAAGTTCATGATATATTTGCAACATTTACATTCATGATATTTGCAACATAATTGAGAAACACTAATTTTAGCAAAAATGTTAATTTTTTGTATCTCAATAAGTTGAAAATTATATATTACTTCATCTGTCCCAATTTATAGTGCCTGTTTCGGTTTACGATGTTTGACTATAATTATTTTTAAATCATTTTATATGACAAATGATATAAAATTAAAAAATAAAAATTAGATATTAAAATACTACATCAAAAGATCTACAAAACTAGTAGTGACAACAATACTTTATTTAATTAAAATGCTAACGAAAATAGAGAAAGAAAATGAATGAAATTTGACCCTATGAATAGTGAACGAAGACTATAAATTGGGACAAAGGGAGTAACAGATATTACTCCCTCCGTCCTAAAACTTTCTTTCCAGAGCACTATTCCAACTTCACGGGAATTTATATTTATTTGTGTTTTTTCATGGCCTATATGATAAAATAAAATATTCTTGTCACCACTTGTTTTGTTGAACTTTTGATGTAATTTTTAAATATGTATATTTTATTTTTTATTTCTATACCAATATTTAAATAAAATAGATTGGAAAAAAACTTGGGATTTTTCTTCGTTTTGCGAACCTGGAAGAAAGATATAGGACAGATGGATACATTATAATAAAATCAATGGTATAAAAAGAGACCCCACTTTGAGAAACAGTAGAATGACTTCTTAACTAGGAGTACAAGAGGAGGCAACATTTAATTAACTAAGCAAAGGGAAAATATTACTCCACTTTAAGAAACACTAGGATGACTTCTTAGCAAACTGCCATTGAAATCCATTCAAAACACTAGGGAGACCAGGTACCATGAATGTGTGTTACGATATCACTATATATAGCATTTTTTGTATATACATTCTTTATAAAAATAGAAAACCACCTTTCGTTTAATTTGATCAATATCGGTACTCATCGGCTTTGGATCTAATCGGATTCCGTTTTAATCGGGTTCAACAATAATCTGAAAAGGAGCACATAACAACGTAAATGCGTTTGTGTACCTGCCCCAAACGCACGTAAATTACACATAAGTTAGGAAATCACTTACCGTGATACGTGTAAATTACAGGAATTTTCTCCACAAGCCCTTCGTCCCAAGTGCTACTACTTCTTTAGTGTCTAGGTGGTAAAGACGTACGTAAATAGCATGTAGATCATAATTTTGGCTGGACTATATATTGAACAGGGGATTAGTAGGACACAAACACAAATTGGATTCTACATGGTGAAATATGCAGGTAGATCATACCATAGTGAGTTTCAAAAGGTTTGAATTTGATAAATTTAGAATTGGAGATCCAAACTTAAGGCGTCTGTGCAGAAAGAAAAAAGAAAATTAGGGTTGGGGTATAAAAGTACTCCCTCAGTCCCGGAGTATTCGTCCAGTTTTGACTTTTGGAACTGTTCATCTAAGCACTTTAACTCATCAAATTCTCTCACTATGTAAGCCTAAATATAGTCATGTGTGATCTTGTTTGATTTGTCTTTAACATATACTCCCTCCGTCCCAAAAAGATTTACACGTTTCAAAAAAATTGCGTCCCACAATCTCCTACCCATTTCTATTAAAAAACCACTTTTACCCCTTACTTTTTCAAACCCTACCTATCACATCATACTTTTTTCCTAATAATCTACACATCACATCCTACTTTTACCCATCACATCAAGGGTATTTTTTGGAAAGTCAACACAAAGTTATTTCTCTCTTAATTTCAATAGACATCAAAACGTATAAATCTTTTTGGGACGGAGGAAGTAGATTATTAATATATAATTTCTATAATTTTTTAATATACAAATTACAAGATAAAATGGATTAAAGAAGTGTATTGGATGGTGTGCAAAAATGAAAGTGGACAAATACTCTGGGACGGAGGTAGTACTCCGTTAGTAAATTGAGTACTTCATATATCGAGGTATTTATATACATACACTGGGAAGAGGCAAAGTCTAGCTAAACACAGTAACAAGAAATTTTAAATATAAGAGTAATATATCTCCGGTATTTAACAGATTTGACTATCCAAAAAAATATCTTACTTTGTAAACTTGGAAAACAATCCAATTTGGATCAAATTAAAAAATCAATCCCCAATCCGACAATTTGATGGGAATATGGCTTTAAGGGTTCAATGGTTGGAATTGCTTTGCGGAGGTTTTTTTTTTATTTTATGATTCGACCTAATTACATTACTTGCTTACTTGCTCATAAAATGGATATTTATCTTTTAAAAATTTAAAAAAATTTCATGGCTTAAATTTATTATATTTAGAAATTGAACAGAAGTTATACATATAAAATATTGGACGAATAAAGTAACCCAACTATTTTGTTATTAACAAAAATAAAGGAAATAAAATATTCGAAAAATATGGTGAAGCATTAGTTGAAAAAAATTATATCTAAGAGTTGAAGGAAAGTGAGAATTGAAAAATTAGTTGAATGGTGGCGTAAGAAAAGTGATAAAATTAAGGAAAGAAAGTGAAAAGAAATGGAGAAACTTTGAGCATTAGACAGAAGATTAGACATGAAAAATTAAGCCTGTAATTAGATACGAGTATTATATTAAAAATACAATACTAATTTTAATTTTGAGTTACAAAATCTAATTAAAATAATCTTATTTTTAAAAAAAAACATCCATCTCATAAAGAATGTTACATAACGCAAAACAAAGCAAGATTTTTAGTCTTTTAAATTTCTTTGCATGTAAATGAATTGGTGGTATTCCTCTTTATTTTCTGATGTTGGAACTCCAACACAACTTTCACCATTTAATTAATCTCTCCCACTCTATTATTCTTTTTAGTTTTAATAATATTTTTAATTTTTATTTTCATATTTTGTAATTCATTCAAAGTTATGTTCAATCCATACTTCATTCGTCCCTAAATATATCTCATATTTGTTTTTTCAACAGTCGCAGAAACTTTTATTTATTTCTAGGTTTTCATGGGTTATTTGATAAAATAAAATATTCTTGACACCTCTTATTTCGAAAAACTTTGCATGTAATTTTTTATATATAAATTTTATTTTTTATTTCCATACCAATATGCAAATAAAATGAATTGAAAAAATTGATATTTTATCTCGATAATAAAAATATGAGATATATTTAGGGAGGGAGGAAGTATTTTTTACATAGTGAACTTTTTCTAGATTTTATAAATATTGAGTAAATTATTTACTTAAAGATGATGGGAAGTGGGAACGGTGATGAGTATAAATACATGGAAACATGTGTAAGAATGTAATTTTACTACAATAACCGTTTATAAACGGCTAAGTTTAGAAAACGAACTTTCCATAACAGCTTATTTAATCCGCCGTTCAACTTGATATTCCTCAAGTATTTTAAAATATTTTGTATCTTTGTTGCTTTTTCAATAGACATGTTATAATTGTGTGTTCAATTCTCATTCATGCATTAAACCTATAGAAATCACTCTAAATAGGACTAAAACATAGAGAAAAGTACCAAAATAAGACTTTTATGTTTACTTTCATGTTTTTTCTCGAAATAGGACTTCGCACTGTGGTAATGTGACTTTGCCCTGTTGTAATATGGCAGTGTAAATGTGCAAATTACTATATTTTTTGATAATATATATAACCATGTATGGTAATGTAAGATCTATTTCGAGAATAAAACATGAAAGTCTTATTTTGAGATATTCTCAATGTTTTAGTCCTACTTTGGTCTTTTTCCCTTAAACCTATTATTTTATTACTTAAATAAGTTACCGAGAAATAATTACTAGGTCTGTCTCAATGTATTTGTCTACTTTAATATTTTTAAACAAAATTAGACAAACTTAAATTTCAATTACTTTCAATTTGTATTTCGTATCATTACAATTAAATAAAATTTTGAAAGTCCTCAACAAAATAAATCTAATAAAATCATTTGTTTTTGAATATACATTTCAATTTTTGTTTAAATTAAGTCAAAATTTATTCTCAGTCTCCGAAAAGTCAAACTAGAAAAGTTAAATGGGATAGATGGAGTATGTTATAAGAAAGACAAATTCTTTTGTGGTCCTTAGATTCACACTCATTTTATGGATCATAGTATATAAATACTAATGTGGTGGCATTCTAACATTATTCTTTTCTTTTTTGTGCATTGTCCACATTTCAATGGGTTATTGAATATCAAATATACTCTCTTCCTATATATTTATGACCTTTTGAACTTTACCCAACACACATGTAACAAACAAAAAAAGTAATCCAGCAAATCATTTTAGAAAATGTAGTAAAATGGTGACCTCTAAATTGGGACATCCTTTTTTTCCTTCATAGGAAGAACATTCCCATTATACTCCAACCATCCAAACAGGCTCTAAACAGAACATAAAACAGAACATAACCTCAAAACAATTTACAGAAGAGATTCTAAGATAGTAATATCATTAAAATAGTTCCCTAGAATAGAGACGTTCAGACCAGACAGACATTAGATTACTACGAAAGAAAATCATAGAAAAAAGAACACACGTCTTTCCACAAATGCTCACAATGTCACACGCACGAAGTTTTGTGCCTAATAAGGACACCCACAAGAATTACAAGTAGGCTGAGAACTCACCTTGATACTTGTATACAAACTGCACTTGTATATGTTGATACTTCCTCATCGTTTCCAACATTGATGACGTGTACGCGCCAAAGTCCTCCAAATACTTTGATGGACAGGGAACAAGAGCCTCTTTGGGAACTATCCCATGGACAATCAACTTCCCAACATTCGGACAACACTTCAACACCTTCTCTGCCCACTCAAAAAAGCCATCAATATAATCCCATTCCCATCCAACCTCCAACACCCCGACCTTCTCCAAGGATCCAAACGTAAAATCATAAGATGGCTCTTCATAATAAAATATTGCAAGATGGCTAAGTTGTGGCGAACAAACAGATAATTGTTGTAAATCCACCACTAGTCCCTTCCCTCTCACGAAAATATTAGTGCCCCAAATTCGAAACGTCTTCAATTGCGGTGGGTTTATCTTCATTGGGAACAAATTGGACTCTGTAACATCACTGCTGATGATTTCTAAACTCTCGAGGTTGTCTCCATCTTCAATCTTATGGACTTGAACCTTCGTGTAGGACATGTTGAAGTGCCTCAAATTTTTACTACCATTGACCTTAAATGAACCAAAACAACATCTTTGCACATGCAAATACTCAATGCCACCATTCTCCAGAATAAGGTCCATTGGTTGAAGATAACTAAGCGAAAGAGTCTTTAATGTAGGACAACTCAACTTGACTGTTATTTCTGGCGAATGATCATCATCGCTTAAAGCCCATAGAAAGATATCACTAAGTTCAGCACGCTCGAGTTTGGGAAAAGCCAAAAGAAGCCGGTTTAGACCTTCTACCGAAATACGGACACGAGTTAGAGAGAGTGATGTCAAACAGGGGAATGGTTTGAACTTTGGCTCAGCCCCATCTATTATGTAATCGCTTAAACTAAAGGTTTCAAGCCGTTGCCTTCCAAATGTAGCAAGAACATTTATAGGGTTAGAGGTTCTAACCTTATAAAACAATTCGGTCAAATTCTTTCTAGCAAACATTAACCAGCCCACAACAGTAGCAGCCATAAAGTCGTGCTTGTCGTCCATCAAAATTGACAATCTTCGCAAACCGGGTGATTGGTATAAAGTCTCTGTGATCAACATTTCCAAGTCACTAATGGGAAGCTCCCGATAGACACGATCATCATCAGCAACATTGAAGGAAAGGGTGCGAAGGTGTTTGAGATAAGCTTCTCGCCACTTGCGACAAGTTAGAGAAGCTCTAATCACATCTCGTGCAACTCCTACGCAAGACAATATCTCTCCGATAACCTCAACTGGAAGTTTCTCCACAAGCCCTCCCTGGCAACTCGTACTGCCATTAATGTCATGAATACTAATCCGATGGCCGGATTTATTTATTTCATTCCTTTTCATCTACATTCCACAAAACACATTTCATAACATAAATAGATGAATGAAATAAATCAGAAGAGGAATCATGAAGAGGGAAATACAGGTACGCATAAGGAAGAAAAATTCGGATTCTCAAATTTAGGGTTTTAGAGCTTCAAATTCACAAGAAATCAGAACTAAACCAAACAAATAAACGATAATTGACCTTACGATCCACAAATACAAACTCGCGAGTGATGATAAAATTACCTTCGGAGTGTTATCTTGCAGTGACGAATCTGTTTGGGCGTTGGCGTCGATTGTGAATATCTCTTATCATCATCTTATGTAATAACTCCTCTTTTGTGGATACAAAACTGCAGATCTGTTCATCGCCGTCGTTAATAGGAAACCACGGGTCCTGGTTCAGGGTGATTCCAAGGCTCACACCACTATTCCAACTTCACGGGAATTTATATTTATTTGTGTATTTTCATGGCCATAAAATAAAATATTCTTGTCACCACTTGTTTTGTTGAACTTTTGATGTAGTTTTTAAATATGTATGTTTTATTTTTTTATTTCTATACCAATATTTAAATAAAATAGATTGAAAAAACTTGAGATTTTTCTTCGTTTTGCGCAACGGGAAAAAAAATTTAGGACAGAGAGAGTATTTCATTTTTTAATTAAGCTATATCTACACATTTTGTGCCCCAAAAGATATTTTGTGTCAATGTAATATCAGTTTAATGATTTACATTGACAAAAAATGTCAGTGTAATTTTTTTAATTGAACTACATTCTCTAGCCGTGTGAACCATTTAATAAAATTTTCCGTACATTTCTTTGAGATACACTTTTGGTGTACCTCTAGCATGGTTGTTCCATCTTTTACAAAGAAACAAAGATGGTTCTTATTCTTGGATTAGGTACTTGGGGTCTCAAAATGTGAAATTTTTTGTTGATTGTGAGCGAGTGGGGGAAGCGGTTGTTGATTGTAATTTTTCTCTCTTGTTTTATTTTGATGATTTGGTTTTTTGAGTGTAAAGCAATTGTTATCTATTTTTTCTTTTGGATCAATCTCTTTTTTTGTAGAGATGTGAATGTTGTTGCGCATACTCTTGCTAAGCGAGCGGGATGTATTTGGGTTTCTACTCTGCCTGAATTTGTAATCTTACTTTTAGTGCAGTAATGATATGATTTTTATTTCAAAAAAAAGATGGTTCTTAAAATTTTGAATGTATTGGACTTGGACCTGCCCTGGTCCAATACTTCATTTTTTAAATTATGTAATTTAAGTATGGAGTGTATTTTTAAAATAGTGTCAACATTAGTATTCAATTGAGATTTTAAAATATTTTGATATATTTTTTAGAATACATTATTTATATGACATTCATAAGTTTTAATTCTATGCAAAGTTGGATAGATTTTATGTATGTGAAATTTTCATTAAATAGGACTAAAACATAATGACTTTCTTAATGTAGGACTTAAACTTTTTTATTTTCTAAATAGGACTTAATAATGACCTAGTGGGAGGAATAATGTCGAGTAATGTTAGACATTTACTTGAATAATAACTACTTGATAATGACCAAAAGTCCTACATTGGGAAATAAAAACATTTGGAAAGTCATTATGTTTTAGTCCTATTTAGGTAAATTTCTCTTTATGTATTTTATGAGAAAGATTTTGTATGAAATTATGCCTCATGTGTTTTAATTCTACAACTCCCTATTCCGGTGCATCGCATGGTTTACTTGTGATTACCCAGATTCACTTTTTTAAGGAAGAGAAAACATGAGGCATGTGGGCAAATCACATGCTAGGTAGGTACTCCCTTCCCATATAATGTTATTTCTAATTACTATTTATACGATTAAATTTTAATTATTTTTTACTTATTTTTCGCTAATTATTTGATAAAATAATATAGGCTTATAACCTCTATTAGGCAGAAATTTTGATATAGTTTTTAAAAAAATTATTTTTAAATTTTGGTATTGTTTTTAAATTTCTAATCCAACGCGTCATATAAAAAGTCATCTTACCATACACGTCATCTTCCAAATCTTTCCAATTCTGTCAATTCATTTCCATTTTTCAATTCTATATACTCCGTAGTTTTTAACAACAATGACTTCAAAATTTATTTAAGCGTATGCTTTAAATCATTTTTTTATTTAAATATTTTTTATAATTATTACTATTTGATTATTATTAAAGTTATTATGATTAGTACTCCTATTATTCTTATTGTCATTATCATAATCACCATTGTATTTTTTGGGGCGCTCATTGTACTGTAATTAAAATAAAAAACTGAAGCAATATCACATTGCCAAAAATTTTTTGTTAGCATTATAGGGTCAATATAAGACATTTAATTGTTAAATGAATTAATTAATCATATATTCCCATTTCTAATTTTTAAATATTCAATAATTATATTTATTTGTTGATCAAGATAACGTTCGACTATTTATGGGCCTGTTTGAAAATAACGTTAGAGATTAGCGTTAGCGTTTTGAAAATACTATCTACGGTCAGCGTTTAGCGTTAGTATTTTCAAAGTAATCAAAACTGTTAAAATTTTATCCAAAACGCTAACACTATTCCCAAACAGGCTCTATGCCAATATCTCGTTTAGTTAAGATTATGAGTCAACAATGAGTCAACAATTCTTACTATATTTGTGGGTTGAAATAAAACTATTTAATATATAAAAATAAAAAAGATATAATTAAAATAAATGAAGTTTAAATTGTGTTTTGTCCTTGAAAAGAAGACAATTTTTGTTTTTTCTTTGTAATATTTTAATTAAATCATTTATACAAAAAATTTTATTTTGCAAAATGATCCTTAAACGTGAGTAACACTTCTATTTTTTTAAAATAACACATTTATTTTATATTCAACATTGTAGTCTTGCATTTCTACTAGTTTTGACACAATTTTCATGTCCTAAATTACGTTCTTATTAATATTATATCTCTAATTTCAATATTTTTGGAGATATAGTATCATAAAGTTAGGTCACTTCCTTTTTTTTGAAATATATCAGAATTACATAAACAAAACAAAATGGTACAACAAAAGTCCGTGGTCTAAAATCCGGCCTACACCCTTATACAAGAATCAACATGTTTGGCAATGATTATATTTTTACTTTTGTTAAATATTTACCTATTTCTATTTTAATAAAACTCTATGTTTTATAAAATAATAATATAAAATAATTAAAAAAAAATTATTATGTTTTTGGGTTTATTATTTTTTATTTTGTCATTAATAGTTTTTTCATTTTAGATTATTTTTTTGGTTTTTTATATTCACAACTAAGTGCACCTATAAATTAAAACAATTAATTTAAAAACACATACATTACATGAATTTTAAAAAAGTACACACATGCATTACTTAAAATAAGAACAAAACAGGAAGAAAAAATATGACAGAGAAAAAGTACATGAAATATAACAAAATAAACATGGCTTAACAAAAAATCTAGGCTTGGGACTTATATTGCCTTCTTATGTTTTCCTTCGTCTCAACTAATGCAGAGTCCCGTTCGGACATATTTTCCATACTCGTGCCAAGAATGCCATGTGGACCACTATTTGACGATTTTTTATTTCAATGGAAGCTCTGTTTATCTCCAAAAAATCTTTCATTCGAATGGATAAGATGTAACGCCCCAAAACCTAGCTTATCAAGATTAATTAATTAAAAATAATTAATTAATTACTGAGACAGACCAATGTAAATTTGAAATATTTTTTGTTTGATTAAAAGGATAATACCATTGTGTGGGTTCGACGAAACAAATCCAACGATGCAAACGGATTTGGATTTGGAGCTCGTGGGTCCGGAAAGTGAGTTTTGCCCAAGTATGTATTTAACTACGGAGCCCAAAACCCCAAACACACACACACAAGTGTGTGTGTGTGTGTGTGTATATATATATATATAAAGAACAATTCTATTTCAAATTATTATAAACACACATATATACTTCGATGAAGAAGAAATGAATTATAAGTATATTTAATAAAATAAATACATCATAATTACTCTGTATTATTTACAACGTGTCACACATTGATAATGGTAATTCCGATAAATAATACTTTATACTCTGTACGTAATAACAATGTCAAACAAAATACATTTTATGTATAAGTTATTCTTTCTTTACTTATTATAATTATTATATCAAACATCTAATATAAATTGACCCATTACTTTATTTAAAAAATTATATTTCATTTATTTAGAAATTTTTATCGTGCTACTAGGTCCGGCCCGAAGCCTGCAAGTATCCATGTGAGCCGGGCTCGGGCTTCAATTGTTAGGCCTGTTATACGAGCCGAGCCAGGCTAGAGCCTAGAAAATTTTCATAATATAAAGTCTCGATCTGAAACTCAATCCCACCCGTATTTTGATCAGGTCTAGGTGTACGTGGGGCACATGGCTCAGTCCAAAATAGACGTGATTACAAGCTTGGTTATCCTGTCCACTTGCAAAAGCCCGCCCGCAAAATAGCGGGCGTGGGCTTGATGTTTTAGGGTACGGGCCGGGCTTGGGCCTTATAAATGGGTGGCCTTAATATTTTAGGACGGGGCTCAGATTTTATGCTCAAGCCCACAGGTTGGCCCACCCTGAATAAATTAAAATATTTATTATTAGAATAATTATTGTAAAATGTCAATTAAAAAATTAATAATCATTATAATAATAAAAGAAGAATACTATTTCAAGTTATTATAAACACATATACATACATGGAGAAAAAAGTGCATTATAATTAAGTATATTAAATAAAAAAAATAAATCTTTATTACTCCGTATTGTTTAGTAGGTTTCGCTCATTGATAATGATGTTCCAATAAATAATACTTCATACTCCGTACATAGTAGCAATGTCAAACAAAATGCATTTTATATATATTAGTTCTCTTTCATTTACTCATTATAGTTATTATACTCCCTCCGTCCTAAAACTTTCTTCGCAGAGCACTATTCCAACTTTACGAGAATTTATATTTATTTGTGTTTTTTCATGGCCTATATGATAAAATAAAATATTCTTGTCACCACTTGTTTTGTTGAACTTTTGATGTAGTTTTTAAATATGTATGTTTTATTTTTTATTTCTATACCAATATTTAAATAAAATAGATTGAAAAAACTTGGGATTTTTCTTCGTTTTGCGCAACGGGAAGAAAGATATAGGACGGAAGGAGTATTAAACATGTACGGAGTANGCAGAGCACTATTCCAACTTTACGAGAATTTATATTTATTTGTGTTTTTTCATGGCCTATATGATAAAATAAAATATTCTTGTCACCACTTGTTTTGTTGAACTTTTGATGTAGTTTTTAAA